TCCCGACGTTATCACGAAAGGCAAACAACTCGACTGCTCTGATCTGCTCAACGATCCAGTCGTTAAATTTCAGAAGAAGTATATTTTATAGCATTTGAAACACTTTTCACATTTAGGTCCATATGTTCACAGATTCTACGTTTTGTTTTACTTAACATTTGTTGTCGTTTTACCGATTCTTATACCCGTCACCCTATGGTCCGAGTGTGTGTCAAATGCGGCATTTGTAGCCCTACTTAGATATTGTACTTCATTGCACTGGTACTTTAAATTGTTCACAAGTTTAAATTTAATTGTCTAATAAATTATGCTTTTGCATTTTGTATTTAGCACTTGGTTTGTCAATTCTGCGGCCCATATGTTTGGGAGTAAACCGTGAGTGTTGTCAATATTGGCGAACAATATTAATGAAAGCAATAATTATTTGCATTTAATTATCAGATATAACCCGCGAATAGAGGCGCGAGAGAACCTATTCGTCTCATTCGGAGCTTTCGGAGAAGGTATGCCTGGATATGCCTACAAAGCCTATAATTTGAAGGTATGCCTACAAATAGATTACTTTTAATTTTATTTATATTATTTTAGGTTTTCATAACTATCACCACGAGTTCCCATTTGACTACTCGACCAGTGAAATGGGTTGGAAGCTAAACATCACCACATTCTTCATAGATCTAATGGCAACCATAGGACAGGCATATGATCGCAAGAAATTAGCTCAAAAGTATATTGATGAAAGAAAACTCAAAGTTATTTCCAAAACGTTTTAAATTTTTAAATATTTTTTCATTTCTTCTTAATATATTTTAATATTTGCTATTTTTAGTAAATAAAATGTTTTTAACAAAATATCTTCATTATAAATATATTTACCGTAAAATAAAAATAACCTCAAATGTATTTTTAGATTTTGCTACTAAAATATTCACTAAATAAAATATCCAATAAAAATTTAAATATCCAAATCTCTCTCTCTCTCTCTCTCACACACACACACTCACTCACTCACTCACTATTTAATTATGAAAAAATTTATCACAAGTTTAATACCGGGTTAATAAACAGTTATATTTTATTATAACACCTTGTAAAGCGAAGTGCAATGAAATTAATTTAATTAATAACAAATAAATTAATAATAAAACTATGAATACATAATATTTTTAAACATCAATAAATATCATTAAATGTTTAGACTTTATAATAAAGATTTCCTTTGCATTTGCGTCCATATCGTGACCGGCCATCAGCTGAGAGAGTGTTGTGGGTCTCCCTCTCGTGCTCCTTAAGATCATCCGATTCGGTGAATGTCTTTCGACACCCGGGATAATCGCATCTGAAGACACGCTTCGATATGACAGTCTCGGAGACCACCATTTCTTTGCGCTTTCGGCCTCTTTTTGCCGGAGTTTTTGTCTTCTTTTCTGACA